ATATATTATTAGTTGGAACTAAGTTGGAAAAATAAAACGTGAGTTGAAGCTCTTTTTAAATTCAATTGGCACATTTTTAATAGAATTTATTTATTGGTCCATTTTTTTATTTCTACTTTTTTTCTAGTTATGTCAGTGTCAGTCCTCCGTACTGCAGAACTTGGTCATTCAATGTCTGAATCAGGTGCAGGAAAATCATAAAAGCTGCTGGGCTGCGGCCCAGCCCTGATTTAAAACCATGATATGTTACCTTTTAAGAGACGAGTCCAATGAATGAAAAGACTCATCTTACACTGAAATGAGCCTTTTATAAGAGATATAACTTCAAATGTGCATAAAGCTCAGAAACTGTTAGCAGAAGTTGTTTCTTCATACAGTAAACAGTTAAATCAGGCAGTTTAAACCCGTCTGCTGAACAAACCTATAAGTTTGAACTGAAAGGCCCATTTAGACCCCCAGAGTCCAGGAGAATGTGGGCCCCGGTTACCCAGGTCTGCGCCAAAACTTTTGTGGCCTCATCAAAAGCCAGGCTGCCTGCGAGGCCTGCTGCTGCTCACAAACTACTAATGAAGAGCTGAGTGGTCCGAGGAGCCAGAGTTCCTGCTCACACACAAACACAACATGTACACATGTACACACAAACACAACATGTACACATGTTTAAGGTTTGTGTTAGCAGAACGGGCGAGGCTCAATCCATTCAAACCCTGTGTCTGTGTCAACTGTAGGGGTAAGGCTTAAGTGAATTAAGCTTTTCCTACATCTCTCATACATAAAGTATGAGGAAAGTTTTACCAAGGTATTTTCTCATTACTTTTAATATCTTGACTGTGCAAAGTGAAAAGTGACACAATAAGTGAACGTTCAGATGAGTTCAAGTTGATTCATAAAAGACGATGCAATCATTTATTTACACAAATTGAACAAATCATAAGTTACACCTGATTGTGGTTATCCCTATAACAAACTTCAGAGTTAAATGAGATAATACTCGTGTCCGAATTTCAATTCACATCAACTCAGATTACTTATATAGAACAGTAAAACGTCAGTTCTGATGTTAACAACCACACAATTTTACTGGCACTTTCAGCTTAAGTTTTGGCAAATAAAGACAAAGAAAAGAGGAAAGTAATGTTAGTATATTATTACTAATTTTACTTTATCAAGTGTGGTTCAACCGGATCAGCACGTCCCTTCTGCACTCAGTTTCCACATGACACGTCACCCGGAACACGTCAGTTTTACTTGGTGATGTCTTCTTAAGCACCCCTGGGTAGCAACTGTCTCACCTCCGATCAGTCAGGGAACTTTTTAATCAGCTCGCTCACTGTTCCTCGGCGAAAAGGTGTTATTTCAGGTGACTTTTCGTCTGTTTCAGTCCAAGCCAGAAAGATTCAAGCTGTACATCCGGTGCCTTCTTTTAAAATAAAATCTCCCCTCGGGAGTTAAAACACACTTTGAGACTTGCAGCCTCGGGGTGTGACATTCGGCTGGCGTGCCAAGCCCTGGCCGTTAGATCTTCCCTAGTTGGCTTATGGACAAGACCTAACGAGCCAAACTGGCTTCTCCGGAGAGAAACKCAGCVTTCCTTCCAAGTTTGGCATCCAGGAAGAAGTGTGTGTCACTCAAAGACGTCCATGTTAGTAATAGAAGTGGACGACTTTGGTTCCGCCCTCAAGCGTTAAGATGAGTCAGAAAAAGGAAGAAAGTTAAAGACTTGCCAGCCAGGCGCCAGTCAACGTTAAATTCTGTGGTTGTTCACAACAGAATGTGATAACATTTCTTTAGCTTTTCTCCAGATAGACTCCAAGAGAAATCATTGCAAAACATTTAKGATGATTAATTAACATTTCTGTTTTAATCAGTCTGAACCTTCTGTTAGTCCAGATAAATAAAAGATTTTCTCAAGAAAAGCCCACAATTATATTACTGTGTTCACAGTAAAATAAAAACAGTGATTTACATAAAAACACAATGAAAACATTGTAATGATTTTCTCTGTGATTTTTATACCATTAATTAATCTTTTAGGCTCGATAAAAGAGTAGAAGTGATTCCACTTTCCTTGTGACAGTCATTATATGATTTAACAAATGCATAAACATTCTTARTTAAACAACAAATGAATCACGAACAGAAAAGATTGTTCTGTCCTTTATCTGAATAAGAGAACTGAGAAATTCTCCTAGGGTTGAAATGACCTTTCATGGCCTAAATAGAGTTCAGTTTGTGACAGAGTTCCTGTCCTCTCGTCAGGCCTGTGCGAGGCAGTAAATCTTGTTTCTTCACTCGAGGTGACCCCTACACAACACATGCAGTGAGCTGCAGTTAGACCAGGCTCTGTAACCTGCCTCCATATTGGCTCTTTGAAAATGAGGCCAAACATAACAGAACTTTATTGTATTTTTTTGGTTTTTATACCCACAACAGTGGGTACAGTATTACATACAGTATTTGTCTGCAAATATGTGACCAATCACGTTGAAATGAGGATTAACTCAAATGTGGTCAAAATGACCTCATCACATTTTCTGATTATTGGCTTTAAAAGCTACATTTTGATACTAAGACCATCCTGATATTATTAGTAGATCCAGATATATTATTAATTTGTCTCGTTGGTTACAACAATGCATAAATATTTGGTCTAAATCCTAATTTTATGTCATTTTAATGAGGAATTTTTTATGTCATTTAAAAAAAAAACTTAAATAGTATTTGAATATTGCGATTTCCCAGCTGGAAAGAAACAAAAGCTTTGATAGCTCACAGGAAAAATCTCAATTTTTTAAAGTTGTTTTTCCTCAAAATCAGGTTTTTGGATGCTAATGCTCAAAAAAGTGCTTCAAAAATATTTTGAATAATATTTCAAACAGTTCTTTGAAATGAAACATTGATAACACATATCTTTGTTATATTTTGACAAAATAATTTTTGCAAGCATTTTAAAACCCTATGTCGGCCTGTTTCTCCACAGAAAACTTTTAGACTTAATCCTCGTTTCAATGTGACGGCTCACAAATGTGATCAATAATACAAAAATAAAACATGTTAGCTCATGCTAGCCTGTTGTTTACTTAAATAATCCAACTTCTTTCTATGATCTTTCTCTTAAATCCATCAGAATTACCTTTAAATAATTTGAAGACTACATAATAATAAGAATTAGAAAAAAATGCTTGAATAATTCAAACTAGTTTTTCTGAAATTTGGTAAAAAATAAATACAGTATTTTTCTTTTTCACTTGAAATGGTCTTTTTATTTGTCTTGATGTGTAAAAATAATAATAAATAATAAAATTCACGATTAATTTTTAGTTTTACAATGTCACCTCCACTGGCCAGAAATGTTCCTGAATAGGCCTCAAAAAGGCCCACGGACCACCAATTGATAATCACAGTTGTAGCTCGTTTTGCAGCTCTGGACGTCTTTTATCAGTGCGTGAAGTAGCAGAAATGTCTCTTTTGACTGTAAAGGTTGCAGACCCCTGAGTTAGACCAACAGCTCATTATACCACATCTGGATATGAAACGCCAGCCTGCTCCTCGAGGGTCCTGCAGATCCACTGATCTAACACCAGCCTGCTCCTCGAGGGTCCTGCAGATCCACTGATCTAACACCAGCCTGCNCTGCAGATCCACTGATCTAACACCAGCCTGCTCCTCGAGGGTCCTGCAGATCCACTGATCTAACACCAGCCTGCTCCTCGAGGGTCCTGCAGATCAGGTTAGATCAGTGGATCTGTGTTCGACTACTCCACCTAGGCTGCATTTCTGAGCTCAGATCCACTGAGAAACTTGCTGTTTCAGTAACAATTAATTTAAAAACTGTACTTTTGAGGTTAAACAAATGTTCATAATTAATTAAAATAAATTACAAGTTAAAAAGGGCGTGGACATTTCTCTTTCTTATATCGAACCAAACTGAATCATGAATTTTCTGTATCGTTGCAGCCCTAGTAAGTAGATAGCAATAAAAGGTTTCTATGTTAAAATTTCTGGGACCATTTGAATGTTTCTGTTAATGCGTGGGTTTGGTCTTAAAAGTAATTTGTAATGGTCTTAAATTGAATTTACTGAAACCTACATGAACCCTGATTAAGACCAGGACTGGACCCTACTGACTGTGAGGTGCAAAGGTTACTTTTACATACTTTTATATATAGTTTTTAAATTATTTAATAGTCATAAGTTGTGTTTTTTTTTTCTGCTGTTGTGCTGCAGGACACAAAGCCTCCAGGGGGTCATGTCGGGGGGCAGCGGTACGAACAACAACTGGACCATTCTCACCTCTGAGGTATAATCCTTTTAGAAAAAACGCAAAGATGTGCAGTAGCTTCTCATGACCTCGATGACAATTTATTTCTAAAAAAGAAAGCTCTTAATTGATTTTTCTTTTCAGGTCACCTGGATATAAATTAGGTTTTTGTCAGAAATGTTTTGCTTCATTATAAAGTAGCCAGAAAAGCATATCTGAGGGTTTATTCAGAAACATGCTCTATTTTTGGGTGGTTTTTTTAGGGGAGATGGAGCTGAAGTGTGAGATATTAGGTTACTACTGATATAAAGATCTCTGTATTTACAGATGAGCTTTCTGTTTTTGTTTTTGTTTTTCATAGGAAACTGTTGCTGAGACCCTGAGGCCCTTTGCAGCAGGGACAACAGAGCAGCATGATGAAGGCCAAACATCTGCAACAGGTGGTGTTTTTATTGAAAATCTAATTATTGTGAACAAACAATTACATATTTATACTCTAATATTTAAATCAATCAAAATGGCACTGTTATAATGTGCCACAGGCTGTTCACCTGCAGGCTGTAATGCATAATATGCCTATTTACCAAAATAAATCACCCATTAGGATTTAAATATGCATGAGTTGCTTCAGAGTGACATCAGGACAGTGAAATAATCTGAGACAGATCAGCCATACCAACAAGTTGTCACGTCTCATTCTTTGTTTCAGGCTCTAAAAAGACAAATCATTTGTTTCAGTCACTGTGTTTCTATTGACCGTGAAAATACGCAAACTAGAATTTCAAAAATAAATTTGCTCAATGGAAACACGTCAATTTAGAAAAAAAATACGTTTTTCAACAAAATGTTTTTGCACTAGGATGAGGTGGTTTTTCGTTCGTATCGAAATTTGTGTTTTTCACAAAACTGCAATGGAAACAGTTTTTTCACATCACAGGAGTCACGTGATCAACAACCGGCTGTTTCTACTGGTGAAAAAGACGATGATGAAGAAGATAACAGGAAGTAGAAGTAGTAGTAATATCACAGAAGTAGTATAAAATAGTAAACTCAGCGACTACAATTTCCCAAAAACACAGCATACGTAGCCGCTCCCAAGTAGGGACTTGTCTCTGGAAAGCCTCGATAAAAGACGCCGACGTCTCCTCTGATGATGAGCGCTAGTGTCGTGGTAGCAACATGCTATGTGTTTACATCCATCGCTGCCATGTTTGTAATGACTTATCATGAGAACAAACGTATTCACGTGACTTTAATAACATTTATTACTTAATGGAAACACCGCAGTTGTGAAACTGTTTTTCGACATTAACAGAATATCGACAAAGTTTTGTGCACATTTGTAATGGAAACACAGTGACTGAAACCTGATGTCAGTTTCATTCTATCTGTTTACACAAAGTCTTGGTACCTTTTCTGCTGCTGTTTGTTTCTCTTACACCAAATGTTTTGAATCCACGTTTCAGATAGAGATGTCTGGGTTTCTCTTCTAGACCTCTCCTCCAGTTTAAATTTACCACTTGTAAGTGGGAAATTCCTAGTACAACTGGGCAAAATTAAACAGTGAAAAGGAAGTGAAATGGAGATTTTACTCTTGAACACTGCGCTCCTCCACCAGGTGGTGGCAGGTAAAATAATCAACATGCATTATGGGAGATATGCTGGCTTTAAAGCAGCTTATTTTAAGACATTAATACAGCTTTGAAGCTATCGTGGGCAAGGGTAACTTTAGGTCTACCATTGGGGGAGTTGTGCTCGAAAACCCTGCATGTCATTTTCAGCAATTATGCGTAAACGTATATGACATCGTAAATTTTTTAATCAAGTCAAAGTTACTTAAATACAACAAGAGAGCTGCATCTGTCTGCTTAACCAGTTAATTTCTATTGTGTTTGAGCAAATAATGTCATTTTATTGGCGGTTAAATTGACTGGATCAAATTATTGTGGGGGTCATAACCCCCCTAACCCCCCTGCAAATTATGCTTATGATCGTGGGCCACATAAAATAGTAAAGTAAAAAGTAAAATTTTTATTTATATAGCACCTTTCTCAGAAATAAATTCACAAGGTGCTGTACAAACAGTTAAGAACACCCATTCAAGAAGACACACATGACAAACATGGGGGAACAGGTGTACAAGTCAAGCAGCAACAGAGACAGTTGTGCTACCTTTAACAAAGAAAAAAAGACCCTCAGTCGACGTAAACATCCAGGAAGAATTTAGTCAAACAGCTCAAGGCCATGTAGGAGAGAGCCGAATCTGTAATCAGTTGTTTTGGGAACAGAAGAGACAGGCAGACAATAACAATTTTCCATCTGCTTTAATATCTACTGGTACATCTCAAGGTGGCGAATCCAATTCAGACAAATAATGTGGACAAATTCCACCGAGCCGTGCTATCAGCTTCTCCAAGATCAATTCCATCTGGCCAGCAAAGTCCAGGGACCACAGCCGGCCCGCGACCTTCAGCAGAACCGCTTGCAGACTGAGTCCAGCTCGCTCAAGGCAAAAGTCTGAGTGCTGATAGAACGGCAATCCTTCTTATTGGTCAGTCAGCCAGGAAATGAACAGCCACCGACACTGTTTTGTAGAACACCAGGAGACCACCAAGCCAATCTGTAGAATCCAGTGATCAGAATCCAGATATATATATATATATCCAGAACAGAGAAGAACAGAGGTCCCACCTTTGACATGTCCTCCCATGGAAGAAAAAACTTCGTTCCAAACATTTATTAAGAGACCAGCTAACCAAATCCATAAAAATAAAAATATCCATAATTTCTGGTTTCTTGGTGTAGCTGGCTACGATTGGCTTCACAGGCTTTGAGTTTGATCCATGTGGCTTAAAACCTGATTGTTTTGAATCAAATTACGCACAAATCTGCTCCTTGGAACTGGTGTTTGAACAGTTTTCTCCAAATAAGGGCGGAGCCTCTGGTTGGAGTATGTTGCTCTGAAAACAAGACGCACCAACCTGTCTGTTCCAGGCAGTAAAGTTTTTATTATGAAGCTGAGCTCTGCGTAAATCCCACATCAGTTATTTTGTCACCTTCAATCCTTTTTAGATGCATGCTTTAACTACATCTGTGAAAATATTTGTTCTAGTTTAACTGTTATTGATACTCAGATCAAACTCAGACAGACAAATGTTAAGACATATAACAAATGTTTTCAGGTCCCTAAATATCAACCCTTATTTTCATGTAGTTCAGACTCTGCAGCAAAGAGGAAATATGAAAACTGTTTTTAATTTTCACTTCTGAGTCAGCGAGCAGCTTTCACATCAGTTTTATCTCAAAACCTGGATCTGTTTGGACCGGTTACAGCTGAACCGGACCGTTTCTCTTTGTTGCAGTTTAAATTTAACTTCTTTCAAACGTATAAATGCTTTCCTTGTGTTTGGTGACACCTAAGTGTGTGGGTGTCACATTTGAATAGACGTCTAGATGTTTATCTTCACAGCTTTTAACACTTACGCTTCCCTTTTAGCACAACGCCAGCCTGCACCACGGCTGTAAAATCAACAGATAAACATCAGCTGTGCCAGCCTATTATTTAACACACACACACACACACACACACACACACACACACACACACACACACACACACACACACACACACACACACACACACACACACACACACACACACACACACACACACACACGATAGGCTGATTTGGTTATTGCACAAGGACTTGTAAGAGAGAAGATCCTCAGGTTTTGTTCTAAAAGATGGATTTTCTCACGTTGATAACAATAAACATGTTTTTATTCAGGAAGTATTGAAGTGGCCACAAATCTCAATTAACTAAACCAGGGTTATTCAACTAAATCACTCCAGAGGCCACAGTTACTGCAGGTCAACAGCTGAGGAACATCCAGCTATTAAAATTATTCTGTAAATAAACCAAGTTTTATAAAGATCTGTTACCTTTGAAATAGTTTATTTTACTGCATTTAATCATGAAAACAACATACAGAACCCTATAAAGTAGTGATAATTAAACATCAAAAACTAAAAGAACACATTCTGCTTCTTTTTTACCACAAATAATATTTTAACATCTCTGACTTGACAAATTTTAAACTAATTTTATTTTCACTTTCATAGTTTTATCTTCACCTGCTTGTTGTTTTAACTGTCTTTAGTGTTCATAAAAATGTTTTTACCAGTTTGTAGCCAAGATTCTGATGTTTCTGTAGATACAAACATGTCTGTGTTTTACTAAAACAACTCAGAGTAATTAAAGTAGAAGACCAGGGGTTTAGGCTTAAGTGATTGATGAATGAACTAATTAGCGGCTGAATATGGCCTGCGGGCCGCCAGTTGAATAGCCCTGAACTAAAGCAACAATGTAAAAGTAACAGTGGACCAAAAATCCTGATGGATTTAATGAGTGGTGGGCACAGCTAATCCAAAGTTAGGTTCACTAACCACTAATCCACTAAAGAAGAATCGTAGCTCTGCTAAAGCTAAACAGATAAAATATCAGTGGAAGCTAACCACTAACCGCTAAGATGACATGATGTCTTCATCTCCTTCCAGTTGAAGACTGGTGGGACAGAAACCTGTTAATTTATTTTATATTGGTTTAATTTAAGAGTAGGATCATCTGTGCCAATCCAAACCAAAGTTATCACTCTGTCTAACTTATACTTCCAGTTTACCCCTTTCAAAATAAATGTTTATTTAATCACGATTGTTTTTTTATAAATACCTACAGTATTTGAGTTAGTGAAACAACAAAACAGCAAAAACTTTCTCGACCATATTTCATATCGAATTTTGTGTTATTTGTTGTTGTTGTTGTTGTTGAAATTTAATAAGGATTTGAGGTTGTTTTTTGTTTTTTCAGTTTTTGTTTGTAGATCTTTATTGGTAAAATATATTTTTTGGGAAAATAGGCGCAGATATGATTTTTTTCTTCTTCTTTCTGTCGCCTTTCATTTTATTTGTGATTTGTGTTTTTTATTGTACATAAATTTTGTTGTTTTTTAAGGAAATTAAATGAATAAATAAATAAAATATTATTTTTCTATTATTTTGTTGCTCTTAGTTTAGCTGCTAAAGATGCTACATGCTACACACGTTGCCGATACATCCAGCACTGCTTGTAAGGGGATGTTTTTTTATTAAATTCAAGATAAATGGCATAAAAATAGAAGTTGTGTATTTTTTAATGGCCTTAAAATTAGCGGAACCCAATTTAGCGAAAGCTAATCAGTCCGCTAGCAGCTTCCAGGGATAGCGGAAAAGCTAATCCTCTAAATGAGAAGCTAGTGGACCTGTGACCACCTCTGAGTTTAAATAAGACAATTATTCAAACTAAATACTAATTAAAGGTTAATTAACAGGCTATTAAACCCAAGAGCTCTGCTTTTGTTCCAAAAGTATCTTTATATGACGAGGTTAACTTTGATGAAAACTAATGTTGTTCTTAATTAAAATGACGTCATCACTTCATTGTTTACCTGTTGTCCACTCAGTCAGAAGCTGGTTTCAAGAATCAGAATTATTTCTTTTTAAAGAGTGACTTTAAACAAAATGTTGAACTGCTGCTCTAAGTGCTTCCTCTGCTGTGTTTGTCAGAACCAGGTTCTGGAGAGTCCAACCAGCCTGCGAGGAGTGCAGAGTCTGCAGAGGGGCTCTCTGTGGGAGAAGATCCAGTAAGATGATAAAACATACGAGTCTGTCTTCTGTTTGTTTGAGCTGATCATGTGTTTCTGACTGGACACTGAATATATTCTCTAATCTGTGACGTTGTCACATGGTTCAGGTGATTTTTCATTTTTAATTGGCAGAAAACGATATTTATAGTCGAGTGAAAATCTTAATTCTGAGCTTTATTTTTACACGGCTGCACTTTTCTCAGTTTCTCACCTGCTGTGACCGAGGTGGCCCCCAGGCTCTGCAGTGAACTTCCTGTTTATCTGTGCTCCCCTGAAAACATTGTTCCTCGTACAAGAACATGTTTATATTTTATCCTAAATTTCTCTTACTTTTGTTTGTACCAACATGTCACGTCAGACTCAACAAACTCTTCTATCTTCAGGAAAACTGTGTAAATGAGCTGTGTAAACTGATGAATGTGTATCAGCTGCTCGAGGAGAGGACATTAGCATAATTACCACCCTAAAAACACCATATAAGGCTACGTTTCCTGTCCCACATACCAGGAAGTGTTCATTCATAAATGACATCACAAAGTAAAAAAGAACTTTATAAGTTCACAGATTGAAGTTCTGCTCTCAGAGATCCAGAAAAGAAAACCTGTCATTTTCAGCAGCGTCAGCTGTGGAATTAAAGGAGCTGCTGAAGCTGAGGAATGAAATGTTCTGTTAATGTTGTGTCTCCTGTGGGTCGTATACAGTCACAGAAATAACTATCTGAATCAGATTCATCTCTCTCTAGTCCTGCTCTGCTTTTCCTTTGGCCAGATTGTTTTAATTTAAGTGTAAACAACTGTGTTACATAGTTTATTTATCAGAAGAAGAGCAGTCACGCACCACTGCCCCTGGCTGTCGCAAGTGTTAGATGTGTTCCTGAAAAAAAGCATTTTAAAATGTCTCCAAACTTCAATTGATGCAGAATTTRAGTTGTTTTATAGTCTGAGATCTTCATATTAATATTGTAGCGTTATACAACAGCATTAACAGCCATTTTAATTTAATTTAACCAGTTTATGTTGTTAATACATTTAAAATTCCAGTTCAAACAGAATAGCCTCTTGTCAACATAATTATGGAGTTTAATTTATTTTCAACTCTAAATCTCTTCAAACTAATGAAATATAAAGTTATTAGTGAATAAAACCAGTCTGATAACAGCAGACTGACTGCAGGTAAAATAAACCACAGGTGTGGTCCACTCGTTAATTTTGTTCATATCTGAAGAAAATCTYAGAATAAGAGAAACTTGGTGAATAAGTTCTGTTAAATCACTCGTACACACAACTGAAGAACTAATCTGTTGGTACCAATGGTTCTTGCATGAAGCCCATTGACTCCTTTAAGAAAAACTTAAAAACCGCCTTTTTACTCAAGCTTTTAGCTAATCATTCACCATTATTTTCAGTCAAACCCTTTAGTGCCTGCTCACCAACCATGTGTTTTTTATTATTGAATATATAAGTAAGTAAAGTTTTATTTATACAGCACCTTTCATAGCAATAGATTCACAAGGTGCTGTACAATCAGAGGCAAATCAAAATCTATACAATCAGAACAGGATACACAAAAATTTGGAACAAAAAGTATAAAAGCTGTACAACCATCAAAGTATCAAGACTGTGCAATCCAAAAATAAAACAAGTAAATAATATCTAGACAAAAATGGGGAGGGCAGAGTAAAACATTAACATATTAAGATGAAGGATTTTTAAATCAGAAATTAATTTGGAGGCAGGTCTCTGAATGGGTCGACTGTTCAGTATATATAACAAACTACCCCACCCCCTTCTTTTCAGGACATTCCATTATTCTGATTTCTACAGTCTACATCAGTGGTCCCCAAACTTTTCATCTTCTGACCCACAAAATATACATGGCAAAAACTTATGACCCCAAATATTACTGGTGTGAGTACACAAACTTTGTTAACCCTAAAAACAAAGGCTACACAAATATAAATACTTATTTTTATCCTTAGTTTGTGTTTTTGTAATAATTATAGGGAAAATATTACATCACCAATTATTTTATTACCCTTTCAATTGATTTCTGAAGTGCAGTGGTTCCCAAACTTTTCAGCTTTTCGCCCACAAAATAACAGTATACCTGTGCACAACTATTTTTGGATGATAAACATTTGGATCAGGTCAACTAAACATGGGCATAGTAACAATATTTATTATTCTACATTTATCCATTTTAAATACACTAACCTCACTCCTTTGTAACAACTAAGGCATTAATTCACATTTTAGGCATCTAAGGCAAAAATGTAATAAATTTAGAAAATATTTTCAGGACCCCACCTTGATATTTCAGGACCCCACTTTGGGTCCCGACCCCAACTTTGGGAACCACTGGTCTGCATATCAGTCAACGCTCTGCCTCCAACCTGTTTCTGAGTTATAATTCAAAATTTATTTTGTCTTGTTTTTGATCTTTCATTATGTCTTTCTGCCATTATTTGTGATCCATCGTATCGAAATGAGGATTAAGTCAAATTCAGTCAAAATGACCTAATTACATTTTCAGATTCCTGCTTTAAAAGCTACATTTTGATACCTGGATCATCCTGATATCATAAACGTATCCAGAGATATGAACTAATTTGTCTTGTTGGTTATGATAATACATTACTGTTTGGTCTGAATCCTAATTTTATGTTAACTTATTGAGTCATTTTTGATGTTAATGTAAAGCAGAAACCTCAAATATTATTTGTATATTAATCCCAGAAAGAAACCAAAACATTGCAGCTCACAGGGAAAAATTCAAAATTTTAAGGTGTTTTTCCTCAATTGTTTTTTTTTTTTTTTTTTTTTTTTTTTTCTCAAAATAGTGCTTCAAGATTATTTTTAGGATTATATTTCAGACAGTTCATTCAAATGGTACATTGATAAGGCTTTTATTCTTTTATTCTTTATATTTTGACAAAATGCTACTTTTGCACTTGTTTAAATCAAAACCCTATTTAAGCCTGTTTCTCCACTTTTGGACTTAATCCTGGTTTCGATGTGATGCTCACATGTTGATGATTGTACAGCACCTTGTGAGTCTATATCTATGAAAGGTGCTTTATAAATAAAACTTTACTTACTGTGAACTCAAAATAAGTGGTTTCAGTCATGACCATGCTAGGGCTGCCACAAACGATTATTTCAATAATCGATTAATCAATTATTTTTTCAATTAGTCGACTAATCAGATCATAAGTTAATTGAATATAAAACATAGAGCTCATCATGTCAGAATGCAGTTGCTATTGTATAACCATGGTTAGAGTTTAGCTATATGCTAACTAAAAATAATAGCTGTGGAAGGTAAGTTCTGCTCTGCAGATATTACACAGGTTTCTCTTTCATTTTCTTAAAATGATCCCACACTTTGAGCTCTGTTGTCAGGTAGCCATGATACCAGAGCCTGTCTGTATAATGTCTTGTGACGTCCACGGCCTACCCCAGTTACCACTACTGTGCATGTGTGTCAACGACAGAAAGGTAGACGTGGCAGTGGAAGGTGTCAAAACAGTTTGGAGACAAAAACAAAGTAAAGAACCATAAAAAGAAAACGATTAATCGATTTTTAAATTAGTCATCGATTATTTTAATAATCGATTAGTCGTCGATTAATGGATTAATCATGGCAGCCCTGGACCCTGCTCTGAGCTTCACTCTGCTGAATTTAATTCACAAACTGTGTTAAATTCTCAGTGATGCAGAACTTCTTCAAACGTGTTTTTCAGGAGTCAGAACAAAAAGCAGCCCAACACAGAGCCCAGCTCAGCTCACACTCTTCTCCTCCATCTTTGGACCAGGCGGAGGAAGTCGGGCCGACGAAGGGCCAAGCTGAGGGACCGGCACGGCCCGGCTCGGACCCCGATCCGTCCTCTGACTCCTACACCATCCTGACTCCTCCTGGACCAGCTGAGCTCACACGGGCAGAAGGTGAAGAAACTCTGCAGGAGCATCAGCTGCAGGGGGCGGAGTCAGAGCTGCAGGGGGCGGAGTCAGAGCAACAGACAGCCGACGCAGGTAAGAACAGATGATTGTGTGGAGGCAGCAGCAGAACCAAACGCTCAGGTTGGATGAAGTTGTTCAGTATCTGGGCCACGAGGCTGTGGTCCACACAATGAGACAAACTGCAGAAATAAATTATCTTCAGAGGGACTGAAACTCTGAGGTTCTGTTAGAAAACAGATTTTATTTTCATCTTTCCAAATGACTGCTGCTGAAAACCTCCTGTCAGTCTGTGGTGTCGTTCACCCCAACCGTGAAATAAGATGTTTGTAAAAGAACTGCAAAAGTTCCTCCATTTCTATATCTTTCTTTTTCTTCTTAATTGAAGTGAAAAAAATAATAAATAATCTACCGGACAGAGGTGTCCAGTCCTGGTTCTGGAGGACCACTATCCTGCATGTGGGATTAACGGGCTTCTGCAGAACTTGAAGAGGTGATTCAGTCACTGAATCAGGTGTCGGAAACGAGTAAAACATGCAGGATGGTGACTGAACACAACTCTTCTGTCTCTTTTTGGTAATAAAATATTGACAGATGTACAGTGTTTTATCACTTTAGTGCATCGAAAAGGTCTAAACGTTTACACAATTCAACATTTACACCACAGGGAGTTCTGCTCTGGTTGATCCTAGGAGAAGACTTGGAGGTCTCTGGACTTCTCTTAAAGAACACATCCTGCTTTTAAATCCTTTTTCACATGGAACTCCTTCATTTGGGTCTATTTAAAGTGGAACTGCAATCAGGGCTCTGCAACAAACAATCGATAAAATAGTTTCCTCCACTCGGTCCGAAAGTGTAAAAACCCTCCAGTTTTTTTCTGACTGAGGCTCAAAGTTATTTAAGAAGCAAAAAGGTTCAGGACGAAGGAATAAAAATAACCCACTGGGTCATAGATCCCCGTTTCAGTCAGACAGAACCAACAAGAAGGAAGCAAAAAGTAAAGAATTAGAGGA